ATCGACCAGTATATCTCGAGAGTAAGTTTCAACGAAGATTTTTTCTGCAGCCAGATCTTCAAGGGAGTGGGCGTTTATTTGAGGAATCCGTTCGAGATGCCAGAATTTATTAACAACCTCTTCGAGTGAAAGTGTAGAGGTGCAACAAATTGTATTGTTTGAGAGAGTTGGTGGTGATGTTGGTACTCGACCTGTAATAATCCAACCCAGATGTGTATTAATAGCCACAGGTTCATTGATAGAGTGAGAAATAGAGCCTTCCTTAAAGAGAAATCCAAATGCATCGCAACCAAGAAGCATGTCAATGGAACTTGAAATATTAAATTTATCATCGGCAAGGTCTAAGTGGGAAAATTTACTAAAGCTAACATCCGGTAAATCAGACCTGGGGATGTTATCACAAATTTGGGGTATAACTGCGAAATCAAGGGTTATTCGGGATTCACTGGACATTCGAGGGATAAACGTGCAAGTAACCTCTTGAGAAACGTTCGAGGTGGTATTTCCTAAGCCTTTTACAAAAAGTGAGAGAGGCTTCCGAGTAAGTCCAAGCCTATTAGAACATTTAGATGTTATAAAGTTCACTTGACTGTCACTATCAAGTAAAGCTCGAACAGGTCTGTAGTAACCAAGCGAGTCTAAAACTTTGATTTGAGCGGTAGCTAGAAGAACTGAAGAATCTCTACCACCAGGGCTAGAATCAATTTTCGTTAAAGCAACTGACTGTGTTCCTGCATCACATTTGTTAATAAAATTATTTGAACTGGTGGAAGGATTATGACCAGGGCTGAGCTGTTTATCATGATGTAATAAAGTATGATGTGGCTTTGAGCATTTTCCACAACGTACACGAGATGAGCATTTGAATGCTGTATGTTTTAAACTTAGGCAAATAGTGCACCAGTTTTTTATCTTTACCAACTTATACCTGTTAGCAGAATGCTTTTCTAAGAACTCTGGGCAACTATAAATTAAATGGCCTCGTTTATGACAAACTGGACAATTGCAGGACTCAGAATTTAAAAGAAAGGTTCTTTTCTGCGATTTAGAGGGTTTTTCCTTTTCCGTTATCTTGGAATCAGAAGAGTGGGAGACAGTCTCTAGAGCAAACTTCAAAATGTTTGTTTTTGTAGTTAATATAAATAATAATAAAAGAGAACAAAGTCCCACTGTTTAGTAGGATGACCTAAGTAGTCGAGGGCTGATAAATGTTCGGAAAATTTATCTAATAATGACTGCAGGGCCTTCACGTCCGTTTCACTCTGGAGGGGTTTTATTTTTTCTATTTCACGCCAATGACTGACAGAAATTAAGCGAGAGTTCTCATAGCGCTCAGTCAATGTCTTATAAGCAATGATATAGTTACCTTCAGTTAAAGGATTGCACTGTACAATGCTCAATGGGGGCCCTTCTAAGGAATTTATGAGGTATGTAAACTTTTCAACATTTGAAAGAGTTAAGTTATTGTGAATCATAGAATTAAAAAGGTCGATGAATGTCTTCCAATTGCGCAATGAACCATCAAATTTTTTCAATTCTAATTTAGGCAGCTTGATGTGACTTGGAGTACTGGGGTTAATTTTAGTACCATCAAACAATTGGGAATAAGTAGCGGCAATCTTGTAATATGTGTCTTCAAAAACTTTCCTAATATGTCTCTGTTCGTCCAGGTCACTATCGTCAACCGTTGCCAAAATATTTAAAATAGCTGCATGTTGGGTTTCAAAGTCCGTAAGAATAGCTGGTAAATGCATATAACGAACCTTGAACTCCATGTGAATTGTAGTAGCCACTGCGAACATTTCGCTCAAACGACTAGAAGATTATATTAGATTATATAGATAGATTATATCAATTACGGTCAGCTAACTGAGCCAAAATACAACAAGCTGAACTCTACAATTTCCTATAATGATCACAATAATAATAATCAATAAATAAATAAATTTAAAATATTTTAGTTAGTAGTGGACAATAGGCACTCCTATATAAACGCTTGCAAACATCGGTGAGACGGGGGGCGGGGGGAGAGAGCGAGAGTAGAGTGGAGTGTAAATTTTTTGATTAACGAGCTAATATTTAAATTAGAGTATTTGAGAGAATATTTAAAAAAATGCGACAATTAAATGCTAAACAAAAAATATACAACGCCGAAATAATAATCTTCCTTATGCGACAAAAAAAATTTGAAAATACCAATATATTTTTTGCGAGTACGCAGTGCCGAAAATAGCGCGATCGATCGTTGGATGCGACGGCGACGTCTAGGTTAAATCGGTGCGAGTTCGGTACCTGTCCGAATGGAACCACAAAAAATTTCAAATTTTTAAATTCTGTTCCTTTTGAAAAGAGCAAACTGAAATTTGGCCACGTTATTTTCGCGATTAATTAAATATCCGTGATCGATTGGACCAAAAAAATGGACGAGAAAGAGCAATGGACTGTAATTTTTTGTTTAATTGAAGCTAGAAATAACGGGGCGATTCAAAAAATAATATATTGATTGAAAAATGACAATCTCTTTTCTTCTTGGCCTACCTTGATATAGCTCTGGCTGTTGACCGGCACAATTTCGCAATACTTGACGGCACTCGAGATATTAATTCTGGCACGCGGAAAAATGCTCTCACGTTGGTCTCTGCCTGAGTCGTACTAGTCCTGATCACAGCGGAGTACGACACCCAAGCGACATATGAGTTTTTCTGGCCGTATACCCAGTGAGATTGTCACCAAAATACGCGGAGAATATAACCGCAGCAATTAATTAAAAGAAAACCAATTTCAATTTGCAGTTGGATTTTGCTGCTAGAATTGATGCATGTGGATTAAAACTTTGAATATTGTTTTCACATATTCTAATTCTTTCGTCCATTTTTTTTTCCTGTATAGCCGTCCAGTAGGATGATGGTATCACCCAGACCCTCTTTACGGAGGCATCCTTCATGGAAATAGTTTATTGCACACCACTACCGAGAAGCTGGCCGAATTGCCTTAGCAGTAGTGGCCAAATAAAGCGTAATTAAAAAAAAAAAACAATAAAATATATCCTACATCTATGGTCCGAGGAACGAATGTAGACTAGGGTCTAGTTAAGAAGGAGGCTATGTCAGAATGAGACGCGTGGTTACTTTGTACTTTTGGATTCATCTTTTTTCATGTTGCGTTTTGTAGTGTCAATATATTGTTGAGTTTCGGACTTGTTTGAATATCCCAAATTGACCATTTCCTACAACAGGTTATGGGCCCAGACATGCTGTGTGAATAAGAATTCGGGAGTCGTAAAAGTTAAAATATACGTTTATAAAACGTAGTCGAAAGAGAAAAAAAAGCAATACCAAGTTATTTGGGAACGTTAAAGAGTTTGGCATAAAAACGAACGCCACAAATAATAGTGATGGCAGAAGGATTGCAAGTCGTGAAGTTGAATGGAGAAAATTGGACACTTTGGAAATTTCAAACATTGGTGTGTTTAAAATCCAAGGGACTGTTTGAAGTTGTTAACAAGGCTGCTGTAAAACCGCCTGGCGACGAAACGGGTAAGAAAGTTACAGAATGGATTATGAAAGATGCAAAGGCTCAAGAAATAATTGTGTGTAGACTGGAAGAAAAGCCCTTATCCATGTATTGGCATGTACCACAGCAGCGGAAATGTGGCAAAAATTGGTGACAATCTATGAAAATAGATCTCAGATAAGTGCACATTTATTGCAGCAGAAGTTTTTTGGCTTGGAGTACGGCGAAGTTGGCATAGCTGGGTTGATATCGAAAATTGAAGAAATTCAAGGAAATCTGAAACTACAAGAAGATGAAATAAGCGATAAAATGGCAATCACAAAGATACTTATGTCTCTACCCGAAAGTTTAAAGTACTTTGTTTCAGCGTGCGAATCCATGCCAGAAGACAAACAAACTTTGTAGAACTGATGTCAAGATTGTTAGTAGAAGAAGAAAGAAACAAACCTAGTAGTTCAGGGACAGCTTTAGTCACAAAAACATTTAGGTCAAACAAGTTTCAACAACAACGGAAAGATATAGTATGTTTTCAGTGCAATAAAAAGTGTAATATAAAGAGGAATTGTCCAGAAAAGACCAAGAAAATATGTCACTGCTGCAGAAAAGAGGGACACTTAATTACAGACTTTTGGTTTAACAAAAATAAGAAGAAAAAGGAAGAAGGTGGTAATGCAGAAAGCGATGAAAAAAATGCAAAAGCAAACGTTTGAACAAAAATCTGTGGGCAGAAGCTATTAACACTTCAGTTTTTGTGTTAAATAGAATTGGATGTAGTTCCATTCCGAACAAAATACCTTATGAATTTGGTTCCAAAGTAGCGGTGCACATAATTAAAAACAAAAGAAAGAAATTGGATTCAAAGAGCAAACTTGGAATTTTGGTAGGATATGGACAGACAACTAAAGGGTATCGAATTTTATTTCCACAAAGAGGGGAAGTAGAAATCCACAGAGATGTAGTGTTTATACCAGATAGTGAGGAGGCTGACCGAAAAGAGAAGAAAAATGAAGTTAACGTAGTTTTGTTAGATTTGGACACAGACATAAACAGTGAAGATAAACCAATACAAGAATCAGAATTTGAAATAGACATGGAGAATGCAGAAGAAAGAAAAGAGAATGAACAGTTGGAAAAGAGAAGAGTTAGAAGACCAGATTGGATGAGAGACTATGATGTGACCTTCTACACCGAAATAGAAGAACCTATGACCTTCGAAGAAGCCATAACCAGTACAGATAGTGAAAAATGGAAGAATGCGATGGAAAAAGAATTGGCAGTGTTTCGTAAAAACAATACGTGGACTGAAGTGCCTTAGCCCGTGAATAAAAACGTCATAGATAGTAAGTGGGTGTTTAAAAAAAAAGGTGACCGAGAATATAAAGCAAGACTTGTTGCGCGCGGTTTTCAAGAAAGAAGTGATCCTGAGTTGTATGACATATATGCTCCTGTAGCAAACTTTCCGCATCTTACTGGTAGTAAGCAGCAAGATGGGTAGACCAATACACCAAATGGATGTGAGAAGCGCCTTTTTGTATGGAGATATAGAAGAACAGGTATTCATGGTGTTAGCAGGTAAAAATAAAAGTAATAGTAATACAGTATGTAGGCTAAATAAGTCGCTGTATGGTCTAAAAAAATCTCCATATTGTTGGAAAAAAAAATTTGACTCTTTCATGCGAAATAAAGGTTTTGATCGATCACAGAATGATTATTGTTTATACTTTAAATTGAATAAAAACGGCAAATCATTTGTATTGTTATATGTTGATGATCTTTTAATATTATGTACAGATGACAGCGAATTAGATAGGTTTAAGCTAGTTTTAAATGAAAATTTTCATTTGAAAGATTTAGGAGTTATTTCAAATTACTTAGGTATAGAAGTTAAACAGAGACTAAATGAAGGACTTACTGAATTAGGACAAAAAGAATATCTAAAAAATGTGTTAACTCGTTTTGGTATGCAGGATTGTAAATCCATAAACACTCCTTTAGGCAGTAATATAGATTTGAAAATCTTTAAATGTGAAAAAGTTGACCTGGCATTGCAAAAATTATGCAGACGTATTGTGGGAAGTTTAATGTACGCCGCAATGGGGTCTAGACCTGATTTATGTGAGAGCATTAATTTGTTAAGTCGATTTCAAGACAAAGCAAACAAAAACTTATACAAAGCTTTAAAAAGGGTTTTGCGTTATGTGCGGGGCACACTAGATTTAAAACTAATGTTTAAGCCAGATGACAAAAATTTGTTAATAGGATATGTTGATTCCGATTGGGGTGGAGATACGATTGATCGCAAATCCACCACAGGTTTTATATTTAAGATGTTTAATTGTACTATCGCCAGGGCCAGCAAGAAGCAGCAAACAGTAGCCATATCATCAACAGAGTCAGAATACATAGCGTTGAGTCTAGCAGTAACTGAAGCATGTTGGCTGAGAAAAATAATGTATGATTTTTTATTCATGTTGATAGCCCCACAACAATATATGAAGACAATCGATCAGCAATTTGTATAGCTCAAATTCCTGAAAACAATAAACGAGTAAAACATATTGATGTTAAGTTTTACTCTATCAAAGAAAAGATCGATGATGGTATTGTAACTGTAACATATGTTAAGAGTGAAAATCAACTGGCAGATTTGTTTACAAAACCATTAACATACGTAAAATTTAAAACGTTACGTTTAGGTTTAGGTTTAGAATAGAAAAGCTAAAATAAGTGTTATTTGTTAAGGACCATAACCTTGAAAGTAATTATTTTATTGAGGGGCGTGTTGGTAATCGTAAAACGAACCAATAAAATATATCCTACATCTATGGTCCGAGGAACGAATGTAGACTAGGGTCTAGTTAAGAAGAAGGTTATGTCAGAATAAGAGACGCGTGGTTACTTTGTACTTTTGGATTCATCTTTTTTCATGTTGCGTTTTGTAGTGTCAAAATATTGTTGAGTTTCGGACTTGTTTGAATATCCCGAATTGACCATTTCCTACAACAGAAACACTGGAGGTATACTTCAAGAGTGCCCTGCAATATGAGGACAAGCGCTGAAACACTTACCCTTCAAGGTGGTGTACACTATCAACAACTTATTTAGTTTTTATCTTATAACTTAGTTTCAAAAAGCTTGTTATGAATTTAATAATGGACGATTAAGTATAAAAATTATTAACAGCAGGTAGTGTTTTTTTTTAAATGAGAATCACTTAAAAACACAAACTGGTTTCTCTGAACGCTGTCATATTAACGATATTGTTATGAACATGCAGATAAGAGGTTTTTTAAGCGAAAACCGTACATCAGATTGAAAAAAATAAAAAAAAAAATTTCTGCAGTGTTTCTCATATTAAATTTTCTTTTTGAAATGGAAACATTCAATTAGAATACAGCCTGTACAATTTTTGTTAATATATATCAATTCGTATCAACTTTTTTCCTTTGTTCCTCTGTTTCCTTCGCTTTTCTTCAGCTTATCTAACCTAATGCCAATTGCGATCGCCGAAGGACTAAAAATTACCTTTAAAATTTTCGTTTCAATCCCAACTTTAAAATCGATCACCTACGCTAAGAACAAAGCCCTTACGTTGATACGCATTCTAGTTAGAAAGGGCAAGAGAGGAAAATTTTAATTAGATACGAGTTTGTCTATTTTAACAAATATAATATTATACTAAAATATAAAGAAATAATTTTCAATCGTACAACATAATTGATCCATTGAGTGGAAAAAGGTATGTGAACAACGGAAAAACAAGGATTTCATTGCATTTTAAAAAATATCTTTACAGAAGAATATTAGGAGAACTTAAATGGTCCGAATTCGGGAGAGAGTTTTTAAAAAGATTTATTAGCACAGAAACCGAAACAAAACCGGTACAGAGGCTGGAATAATTAAAAGCACTTTTACAATATAAGAAGCGAATATATCTCTCTTTTAGCGGGGAGTCAGCAAGGGGTTATTTTCACTCTGGGCTTCGTCTGTGGTCCGGGTACATAACTGAGACGCCTTTTTTTGTTCATTGAGTTGTTCATTACTTGTATAATTAAAAAACGAAAAAGCTTAAATCAAAAAATCTATTATTGTGTTAAACGACCCATTGATTTTTTGGTACAGTTTAATATTCATAACTAAGTACTCTATCGTATAGGTCGGTGTAATTTTTAGGTAACTGACAAAAAAACACTGGAGACTGCTTTGGAAGTAGGTTACAGACATTTCGACACTGCATATGTATACGGCAACGAACATATCATCGGCAAGGTCTTCAACAAGTGGTTTTCATCTAGAAAACTCAAGAGAGACGATGTTTTCATAACTACGAAATTGCCATTTCACGGCAACTATCCCGAAGGGTAATATTCTAATAAGGTAATATTATGGCAGGAGCTATAACTTCTGTTTTTCATAATGTGGAGAAATTTCTTAAGGAGTCCCTGGCGGCCCCACAAATGAATTATGTTGACCTATATTTAGTCCATTCCCCGATTCGAATGAGAGGCAGGTTTGGGGGCGTAGACGGATTGTCTATGCATCATGTAGGCGTTTGGCGCGTGAGTCCTGTCTAAAAACTTGCACGAAACTAATATTGAAGGGATTATTTTGCAGGAAATGGAGAAACAGGTGAAGGCGGGTCGCGCCAAAACGATTGGCGTCTCTAATTTCAATCAAAGACAAGTAGAGAGACTTCTTAAAGAGGCAGAAATTAAACCAGTCTGCAACCAAATCGAATTAAATGTACCTCAAACGCAATTAATGGAATTCCTACAAGCGAATGGAATCGTTGTAGTTTCGTTTCATTCTTTAGGAAGCTCTAGACCGATAGAACGACGAGACAAGATTGGCTTACCTCAAACAGTACGTATATTGCGTATTGGACATCCGTTAAATCACTTATAATGTTTTTAGGCTGCAAGATCATCCGGAATATCCTCACCCTGTACGAGACGACTAAAATGGCTTTATTTGTGTAATATGCCAAATAAAAAATATATAAATGTATAATCTTTTACGACTTTCGCACAAGAATTGTTTCGTTCCACTTCACTAAAAAAAATTGTTTGCAATCATATGGTCTTGCTAAATACTACTTGCAGTTTTTCCATCATTCTGTAATACTTTTTCTTTAATAAAATCGTTGGAATAAAAGCAATTAACAACCAGTTCTAATTATATATGCTCTAAGTGCTTTAATTTCCACTGCCATCATCAATCGGTACAGCGTTTAAACAAATTTCCAAGCTACCCATGTTTACAGTAATAAGTAGAAATCCTGATACGAAAATTGTTTATTCATGATGCAAAGTTGCAAAAATTAACATTTTATTCCCAAACTAAGACATTTAATTCAAAATTAAAACACAGATAATTTGAACTATAACCGGCAACCCAATTGAATTAAATTTTTCTTCTAAAAATAAAGACTTCTGACTTCTAATACTGCCGGTCAAAGGGCCAAAGTTTTAAGACATTTGCCATCATATTTACATGCAATGTTTTCTTTAGAAAAAAACAATCTGAATCCGTGTTAAATAAACCAGGGACTCATTCTATAAGGCAATACAGCCTAAATAATAAAATGTCCCTATGAATAGCTAACAATGTCTTGGTAGTCTGTACATTATGTGAAAGTTTTAAGGCTCAACCAGATCTACAAAAATAACTGAGGGAGGTATCAAAGCTAGTAAATAATTCTAGAGCTGTTATATCAAATTTTTTAAATAATATTTATTACAATCCCAGTAACTGACACCAAAATAATAGAATTTAGTTAACCGTAGTTAGGTAACCCACATTCCGCGGATTTAGTTTTTGTACTTTTCTCCATAGGGCAGTTCGACGGTCTTTAATAACTCGTCCATATCAACAGCTAATGACAAGGAAGTCTGCACATTATATGGAAGTCTTAAGGCTCAACCAGAACTATAAAAATAACTGAGGGAGGTACCAAACCTAGTATGGAATTTTAAAGCTCAGTTATATTATATTATTTAAATATTTATAAATAAGATTTCTTACATCGTTGTGGCAGACTACCATAATCACGGAATTTAGTTAACCGTAGTTATGTAACCCAGATTATGCTAATTTAGTTTTTGTACTTTGCTCCAGAGGGCGCTTAGATCAAATATGGTTAGTTTTGTGATCATAGTTAATTCGAAGCCCTGAACATCTTCTTTTTTCTCGTAACGTGGGCAAATTGGCTAAGGGCATTTGCCCGTTACCGACTTAAGTCGAGAGGTTTTGTTAAATTTCCAAGCGTACTCAAAATAACACATCACACTACACTCCATGAACAGCATTGGTTCAATGTTACCGAGCCCAGTCTAAACTTTTAGCATAAGAAGTATGTTTACCAAAAGTAAAGCACGTGCAATTAGAAAGCCACATATAGGTTTAGCAATTATTTTTCTTAAAAAATTTTCATTTAATAATGGAATACCATAGTTGACCACTTTTCAAACATGTGCTATTCAATTTAATGTCTTTAACTAATAAACACGAACAAGGAAAACGAAAATGAGGATTGAGCAAAGTTATAAACAAAAGTAACAGATCTTTAATATTTTCGAGATTTTTATTTGTGTTTAGTAATTTAAAATTACTACGTAACTTAAATTTTAACTATTTTATCTATTTCACTATTCTGGCGCATTCTCCAAAAATTTAAAAGAATCTCCTGAAAATTTGGCAGGCGGGTAGATCGCGTCTAGATCATCATTTTGTGCCCAATAAACTAATCTCTTAACTAGTAAGGGAATGCCAGGAAATGGGTGGAAATTGGGAAAATTCAAAGTGTTCATGAGCGGTTGAAATTTGGCAGGCAGGTGGATCTCGTCGAGACGATCATTTTGTGTCCAGTAAACTTTTCTCTAACACGTAAGGGAAAGACAGGAAATGGGTGGAAAATGGGAAAATATTAAATTGGTCGGAGACGGTTGAAATTTGGCAGGCGGGTAGATGGCGTCGAGAGCACTCTAAGAACTTGATGACAAAAATCGAGAGGTTCCAATGAACCTTGGTAGGTCTACACGGCAAAAAAATCATATGAAATCTTTCACCGAAAATTCACTAACTGTTTTTTGCCATACTGGTGCGTCCAAGAAACTCCTGAATCTGTTCGGGACTAATTCAAAAAGTGACAAACTGCAATACAGGCGTGCTTTCGTTAAACGGGCACATTTAAAGATATTGTCCCATGTTTTGATAGATAGATAGATAGATTTTTTATTCACAAAACCAGCTGATACAATAGATGTTTCGTCAATAAATACAAATAATAAATTACAAGTTTCATTGTAAAAACAATGTATATGATAATCTTAAGTAATGTATAGAACGAATACGAGTATGTATTTATTTAACAAACATGACAAACAAGTTAATGTAATTTAAAATAAAAGAGAGTATACATTAGAAAAATCTCGGTAAACTTTTGACGTTATTTACGATGCTCTCAGGTACGCTTCAAATTCTTTTAGGCTGTAGAAAGCATTGGCCGACAGGAGCCTCTTGATGTGTTTTTTAAATTGACTTATAGATAAGCTTAAGCTTGGAGACAGCAAATTATAATAATATGGTCCCGCGTAACTTAATGATTTTTTATAAAACATATGGTTGAGTTTTGGCTTCAGCAGATGTTCTCTATTGCGAGTATTGTAACTGTGGATATCAGTATGCTTCCTTTGTGAATATTTATTTTTATGTGTGATCAAAAGTATTTTAAATAGGTATATACAAAGCATTGTTAATATTTTGAGCTGTTGAAATGTCTCTTTGCATGATTGCCTCGGAGGAAGTTTAAAAATCAGCCTAAGTATTCTTTTTTGCTGTATAAACACTCTCTCAGCATCATTCGCTTGTCCCCAGTTGACAATATTGTGTGAAATGGAAGAGTAAGCTGACGCGTAGTAAAAAGCTATTAGTGCCTTCTCAAGAAATGAATCTCTAATTGTTAATATTGCGAAAAGGTTTTATTTATTTTATTGCAGACATTGTCAAGGTCCCGGTCCCATCTCAAGGCGCTATCAATATAAGAACCAAGAAACTTGAGGTACCAAGTTTTCGAATATTTGTAATGCGGCATACTTTATTTGACGTCGTTTTTTTTCATTTGAAGCTTCTAAAACATCGCGTGGTTTTCGCGTTGATTTCATTGGAAAATTACGCCTTTTGGCGGTTTTTAATAACTCCTCCGTATCAACGGCTAACAATGTCTTGGAAGTCTGCACATTATTTGAAAGTCTTAAGGCTCAACCAGAACTACAAAAATTATTGGGGGATGTATCTGTATGTATAAGTTAGTGTGGAATTTCAGAGCTCAGTTATATTATATTATTTAAATATTTTTAAATAAAATATCTTACATCCCAGTGAGACTACCAAAATTACGGAATTTAGTTAATCGTAGTTATGTGACCCAGATACGCAGATTTAGGTTTTGTACTTTGCTCCAGAGGGCGCTTAGATCAAATATGATCAGTTTTGTGACCATAGTTAATTCGAAGTCAATTCAATTCAATTCAATTATGCGTTTCACAAAAAAATGTTGGGCTCGACTGCTAGGATCATTCGCCCATTGCCGACTTCCGTCCAGGATTTTCGCTTCTGGTCAATGACCACCACGTACAAAGAAGAAGAATAACCAATAATTTGCTCAGCTAGCAAAAAACGATTCTGACCGATACCAAAAAAATCGCTTCCACCGCGGACCATCCGGGCCCATCCGGCCTCCATACCGGCGTGAACAGGGAAAAACGACGGGGCCGACGACGATTATCACTTTAAAACATCCACTGAACACTAAAAACACTAAGTCCACACAGTGGAAACCGATATCAAACTTTTGAGGACGAATACAAGGGATTCTGTCGGGAGCGAACGGAGGTTAAACCGCCGCGTGCAATGCTCCACCACAGAATCCAATTCGAAGTCCTAAACATTTCTCCTTTTTCTTCGTTTTTGTCGTAACGTGAGCAAATTGGCTAAGGGCATTCGCCAATTACCGACTCGGTCGATAGAGTTTGATACTCAAAATTAGCCTATCACACTTCACTTTATGTACGGTAATGGCATTCATTCAATGTTACCGGACCTAGTCTGAACTCTTGGCATAAGAAGTGTTTTGACCAAAAGTAAAGCACGTGCAATAAGAAAGCCACATAGGCTTAGTAATTATTTTTCTTAAACAATTTTCAGTTAATAATGGAATACCATAGTTGACCACTTTTGACCAAATTTGCTATTCAATTTATTGTTCTTAACTAAAAAACACGAACAAGGAAAACGAAAATAGGGTTGAGGGAGTTTATAAACAAAAGTAACAGATCTTTAATATCTTCGAGATTTTTATTTGTGTTTAGGAAAGAACAACTACTACGTAACATGCTTCTAAACATACTAAAACATCGCGTGGACACTTGATTTAATTGCAAAAGGGCACACACTTTAAATTAACACTTTTGACTATTTTTAATTACACATCCATATTAACTAGTGTAAAAAATATATTAAACTTTTGGGTATTTCATAATTAGGGGTAATTTTATATATTCCCGATGGTTTCAAGGTGGTTGAGTAATACATAATTTTGAAGCTCTTCTAAATGATCTGGTTGAAACTCTGGGACAAAGATTTTTTTGCGATTGCGAAATAAATATATCGAGCTTTTGGGGGTTGTTTAATAAAATCCCGGCTGTTTCAAGGTGGCTTTCAATGGTCTGGTTGAATCTCTTTGACAACGTTACATTTTTTCGAGATTGCGAAATAGTAATTAAATTAATTAATTTTTTGGGGTTTATGCGAAGGGAAAAGGGTTATTTTCTGTATAGCAACATTTGCTATGGTTTTTGGGAGTTCAATTACAATATTTCCATATTAGGATACATTTTCCGTTTAAATTAACTTCTTCGGAGGTTCCCGGAAAAAGTGTAAAATACATTTGTTTTGTTATTGTTTTGGTTAGTTGTTATGATTTAGATTTTGTGTAGGATATTGATGAGAGACCTTCAAATGGAGCAGCA